CCCTCAAAAAGAGATAAAGCATTATTAGTTGTTGTTGAGGGATATCAAATGATAAGTTCCAATGCTGAATTTGCCAGAACCGTCATTGGATTTTCAAATGTATTCCTTTATGATTGTAACAGATGACTTGGTTTTCCCAGACTTGTTGCAACAAGATCATTAACGCTCATCCCCCAGGCTGAGTGATGGTAACAGGAACCTGCCAGACCTGGTTGAACAACGTATAAAATGGAACTATGTGAAAAATGTTTTAATTTTTTGTGGGAGTAAGACGATGACGGGAAAAAAAGTCCTTAGCACTGCACGGCTCCCCTGTTACACTAATGTAGATCATTTTGTGTAAATTTTGTCATTTTCCACTGTTTAGTCATTTGCAGTTTAAAAGGGCACTTCTGCTCTCAGTCCTTTTGAGCTCTGTGCATGATGAATCCCAACACACTCAACAATTCAATATCTTATTAATACAGAATTAAGAAACATGCCTATTTGGAAAGAATTAAAAGGAATCTCTTTAAATTAAAAACCAGTACATTTTTCACCAGTTGGGACATTTTCTTGTTAAAAACTCATTAGAATGAATCTTTCACATCTATTTATTAGCTTTATCAAAACAGAGGTCTTAATGTGTATGCATAATTCATAATTGAATTTTTTAAAATATTTGTCTTTTGAAAAAAAAACAGTGTTAACCACATTCATGAATGCTTGACTGCTTTCTAATTGCAATGCAATTATCACTTTTTACGAAAAATTTAAACTTTTAAGCAAGTAATTGTTATACAGAAAGGGCTGTGATGACCCTTGAAAATTAATACTCTAGGTACAGCTTTGCCTACATTTCTAAAATGGAATTTTAATCTATACATAGCTATATCCAGCTGAATTGGCACATCATAATAAATTAGGACATTTTAATGCAAGAGTTTTTGCATGTGTGCTGTTTGTATATCACATCTGGCTATTAAGAGGTGGATTATGAATGGTGGACAGCGCCCTTTTAAACAATCTGCTTAAGCAACACAGAAAATACACATTCTATAATAAAACGCGTGACTGCAGTGAAATAATTATCTATTATGATAGTGTTACAGAATTAATTCATTTTTTCCCTCCATCCCCTACAAATTGTGTTACATAAGGACGCACATTTGGAATCTTCATTTGACTCCTTCGCGGGTTTGAATGCTATCAGAAGCACAGCGCTTCTACAGCACAGGTGGTACCAATATAGGACAGTCCCCTAGGCACATGTAGCCGAGAGTCGTGCAGCTTGTTCAGTGTCTGAGTCCATATGGCAGTCTGTCCCATTCACACACAGATACTGTACGTGTGCCTGCAGCTGCAGCGGTCAGTGCTGTTTGAAAGGTGGGTTTAACTCTTTGTTGCTCTTCGTTCTTTTATTGAGATGACCAAGACTTGTTGCTGCTTCATTTCTCTCTATATATACGCAAAGCTGCCACTCTGATTGGGAAAGTTGCAGCGCAGACATGGAGGCGTGAGGTTGTATTGCCAGTATACAAACAGTCAAGATACAATCTAATCATTCAGTATCATGACAGTCCATTAGGAAGGTGACTCTTTGAGTGAAGGTTTTGTTTTTCAGCATGATAATGACCCTAACTCACAGCCAGACAAAACCTAACTTGCTTATATCTGGGGAAAAAAAAAGACAGGTTTGGAAATTGATGCCTAGTCACTCCCCCCTGAAATACTATACAATAAGCTTTACTGTAGAGAGACAAAGAAGACTGCAAAAAGCACAGTTAAGCTCCGGGATGTGATTAAGACTGGATGGGCAAGTGTAGAAAGCAGCCATCAATCCATTATCAGAAACCTGCATATTCCTCATAAGGATCATGGCAGTCCAAAGCCTGTCAGCCTGACTTAAAACTTCATATATATGACACACACCGGGTAGAGGACTCAAGAGGAAGGGGCTTGAGTCCAATGCAGTCATATAAACAGAAACAATTTAGAGATACAAATTGACCTAGGCAGAATATCTTTGAAAAGTAGGAAGAAACTAGAGCACTTGTAGTAAACTCACATGAACATGGGAGAATATTGTCCATGCCGACTTCACACAGAAAGCACACCAATCCAAAATCAAACCCAGGACCTAATACCAACAATAACTGCCACGACTCATTGCCATCACTATAGAATTAGTATAGTATTTTACTACTGGTGTTGTGTGACAGAACACCTTAAGTGTAGGCAGATGTAATATCTGACATTTGTAGTAGTGTATAACAAGTAAAACATCCTGTGTTGATTTCTTCCTTAGTTATATGTTTGTAAAATGTGCAGGTGTCCCCATACAGTACTTCTAACTGCCCATGTTTGTATACATCCGTTTATACAGTATATGTTCATTTAGAGAGCTTTGTCAGCGTACACTTGGGCTCAAAGGAACAAGTAAAGGTTCATTCCATACTAAAAAATACACAGGAGAAAATGCTACATTTTGGCTGTTGGGCCTTCTTCAAGTGTGTTACAACCCCAGGTGTCTGGGTGTAAAGGGGTGTAACATTTAGGATGGATTTGGATGCAGGTGGGTTTCTGATGAGGGACTTAAAAAGCGTGACAACAAGTTTGGTGCAAAAGGTGCTTTATTTTAAAGTGAATAAGTGACCGATACGTAAACAGGACACAATAACACACAGGGAAAAGGAACTTGAACGTGCCAAAGAAAAGAAAATAAACAAAATGGATCTGGCTAATAAAGTGAGGGGAAGCTGACCTTACTACAAAACAAAACCCGAAACACTCGGTCTTCTGTGTCTTCTAACGCCCTGGCTAACCTTCACTAACTACCCAAAACCATACAAGACAAAAGGCACTCGCCCGTCCTAAACTAGTGTTACTAATACAGAGATCAACTACGTGTGCAGAATGTACCCGACAACTTTAACTAACCCTTAACACGAAAGTTCACACACATACACAAGAGAACTACGAATACAAATAAGAGTAGACACAAGGAATAGGGTACAAAAGAGGACAGAGGTTGATATAACACATCTGGGCAAGGTAATGGAGAAATAAAGGAAAATACAAACAAATAAAAGTACAAGGAGGCGAACACAAACCAACAAAGCCAAAGCTGTACGGGAACACACACACGAAGCGAAACGAATGAAAACGAAGAGAGAGAGAGAGCAGAACCGAAGTCGAGCGAAAAGGCCCCTTCATTCTGATAACCTCCAAGTTAAATACTGAAGAAGCTGAGTTCTGATTGGCCGAGAAGCTGATTGATGAATGACGTATTACTTAAAAATGGATGAATTAATGAACCAATGGGGAGGGAGAACAACCAACGATAGGAAGTGTGGAACAAAGAACAAAAAAAAACACGCACGGACCACACTGGGACATAACAAGTGAAAAGAGCCTTCTTCACTAAAAGAAGCTCAACAACTGAAATTTTTGTTTTCTCTCTTCTGTTTTTTTTTTCTAGTTGAATTAACTGTTACTTGTATGTATTTATATAGTAGTTTCTGCCAAGTAAGCACCCCAATGTCACAGGAATGGCATACTTCTAGAGGGGAGGTGCTTTGGCAACACTCCAAGCAAAATGGTATCTTTAAAAGTGGATACATGGATTACATTTATAGAATTATACCTGCTTACCACCACGGAGAACAAACTCATATATGTTCCCATTTCATGAGAAATTAAACATGCAGAAACTTTGGACAGTAGGAGTCAAATTCAATGTTGAGCAAATTGTAGAAAGAAGTTTCTCTGCATTTTAAAACTGTTGTGTCCAGTGTGAAAACATAAAGTGAATATCTAGAATATATGAAAGTGATATCTAGAGTTTGCACTTTAGAATAAAAACATGCATGCAAAACAAAATCGGTGTATTGCTGTGTTGGATGATTTGTACTCTGTTGTCAAAAGGGTGGACAATGCTCTCAATACCATTTAAGGGACAGAACTGCAGTATTATATCTATTTGCTTGTGCCTCAAAAGTTTCTCTGAGACAATAAAGACAGGAGCTGTCAAATTTTGACTTTCAGCTCAAATGTTATGAGAGATAATTGCCTCTCATGTCAGTCTTAAACCTGGAGCTTTGACTATTTGGAATCCAATACATTTTTTAGATACCTAGTGAAATGGTCAGTTCTTCGAGTCAGGTTTAGTATTGTGACGGTTAATAGAATTAAGCAGAAAACAACTCTTTAAGACCAAATAAAAGACATGTTCTTTTGCAAATTTTCCCAAGAACATAGAAACGCTACAGTAATAAAAACTGTAGAAGTACCATTAATTGTTGCCTTACGTAAATGTTTCCAGGGTGGATTCCTGAAAGATACCCTGTTTATAGTCATCAGTTGTCCTGAGCTGAGTCCCAGAAGGTAGATTTCTGGTATTTGGTTCATCAGTCGGTGCAAAAAAGTGACAACATTTCCCTAAGCACCACCTGGTCTGGATCAAAGTGTCTCATGACTTGGATCAGTGCAGCTAAATAATTACGTATTGATTGGAATCCTGTTGAAGGGTTAACCCTTTGTATACATGATCATGCTATGTTTTTGTAAAGTCTTTAAGCCCCAGTGGAAGTACTGTTGTTGAAAAGCACATAATGATATTGATCATATCATCTCACATTCTCAGAGGTCAGATTAAAGCAGTAAACGGTACATAATCCCACATTATTACTGAAACTTTAGTTTACTCAAATCCTACCTCTGTTTACCTAAAATGCCCTTTCAGAAATAAGGGTCAATTAGTGCATTAACACATTTACTATGTGACATATGTAAATCCAGTGTCAATATGAATGTTCCTTTTGAAGATGTATTCTGACCAATGGTCCACTTTGCATAGTATATATAAGGATTTCATCAGCTTCACAGAGGGCTCTTTCTGTACTACAATGATGTTTATTATTTTAATAATTGAATAAAAAATCAGTTATTCTGTGCGTGTTAGCTTATGAGACACTGTGATGTATACAGTACACTAATTTGTCCTTTCATCTGACCTTCAGCTCCTTACTTGAAGAGCCCCATCACCACAGTCACCCTCTGTATGGCCATGGGGTGTGCAAATGGCCAGGTTGTGAAGCGGTATTTGAAGACTTTCAGTCATTCCTGAAGTAAGTAACATCACTATGTTCTAAAATATCGGAATATATTGGCTATGTCCTTTAAGATTTCGGCTCTTAACCACCTATCTACCTTACGATGGAACTGTGAAAGAAATTGTTTATAGGCAGCTGATGTTCACAGTAAAGCCTGTAATTACTGTTGTTGGTAAACCGAAAGAGCACAACACATTTTTTCTCCTCAGCTGTGGTGCCACTGCTGTTTTGCTCTCAGACTGAGGTACACCACAGGGCCCCTTTATTCCTGTGATAAATACCGTACCCATAGCGATTCTGTCTGTCTTTCCCAAACAAACAACAGGAGGATGTTTATCAGTGCCAACTGACACTCTAGGATCTCTGCATGTTTGTCCTTGTTACTTGTTTTACTGAAAAATGACACACAGCTCTGGTGTTTTAACTGCTTGCTTTCCACCAGCAGTCATGCAAATTCAAAACAGAATATTATAAAGGTGTCTTTTTTTGTTTGAAAGTAAATGTTGAATTTGCTGCAAATCTAACCTTTTTTGGCCATGGTACCATGTCCATATAATTTATCTCTGTCTTTTAGACATGCATTTTGCCTTTTTTACAAGTCCTCAGAGAAAAAATAATCAAAGTAATAATATGTACTGTGAGAGACTCACTTATGTACTGTGTAATTCTAAGTAAACATGGTGACAGTAAACAGTTGAAGACCTCAAGAATTATTACACCAGGTCAACTGGAATTCCCTATCAGCACTGATTAACACAAATATAAATTATGTGAAAATTAAACTTCTTTTTTAGGGAGACAAAATTGTCAAGAAACTAGTTGGACTGCTGTTATTTTACTGTTAAGTTGATCATTCTGTAGGTGTACAGTATATATTCACTTCAAGTGAAAGAGATAATATCATCAAGGTTTATGGTGATGCACTCGATATACTATACAGTCTTCTGAAATTTTCTTCACAATGAACATATAAACAGATTGTGGAAAATGGCACTGGTTTTAGATGTGCTTTTATGGTCGAAATTCAAGTTCATGGAAACACTTCTAAATTAAAAAAGCAAATGATCAATTTGCATTTTTCTTATTCCATACACTTAAAAAGAAATTCTTGCGTAAATGCTTAGCAGAAAAGACTAGATTATTTGAATTCCATGTAAAAATGTGCTCTACACTTTGACTAGTGAGCTATGTTCTTTCAATATATTTTTTAATTCTTCAGCTGTACGAATGTCACGCAGAAATTCTTGCAATTTATCAGTTTTTGAGATTGCATCAACACTTGTTTATAAAACTGAAAGGAATTAAATTTTTGAGTGCTCAGTAATATTTTTTTAAAAAATGAGTTACTGAGTGTACTCTGCTATGTTTTTACAAGTGTTTTTATCATGGCAACATCTTGTTTACTTTAGTTGCCTGCCTAAACTACTTGGAACATGTTAAGAAAACATTTCAAGAAAGTCTCCACAAAGCAGTCTTTGTTTCACAGTAACCGTAAGGCTGTACAGCACACAAAGGTGTTAACTTTCAACCCCTTAAGCACTTCCACATGAAATTCTAGGGCTGATGTTTGTGGTTTCCAAATTGAAAATAAAAATATTTTAAAAAATCAAAGTGCATGTTGAACAAATCAGGTATACTCTAATGCTTGTTTCAACAGTCACGAAATTAGATTATTTAAGTGCATTAATTGGTGTCATTTACAAGTCAAAGGTTCTACAGAGAAATTGTCCATAGTCAGCAGAATGCTGCCTTTTTATGAAGCAGAGAAAGGTGGAGAGGACACTAATGTCAACCAGATTTGAGTTCTGGATGCCAACATTAACAACAGGCATGGGACTTTATTGTTTTTTTAAACTACATGCATATTTGTTTTATTTTTTAAAGAAAACATTACATACCTTGTTGCACCATCTTGATAAACAAAAGCCCAAAATCCTATTCCTGTTTCTCATTTCAGTGCCAACTGTGTTAGGCTTAACAGAGCACATTAACTCAGTTCAGAGTCTTTTTATTGGGTTCAAGACCTCTTCTGTTGTGACCTTTTAAAGGTCACACTCACCTAAATACTGCAGTGCCCTCTAGTGCTGTCTTGCCTTCTTTGTAATGTAATGTACAGTATGTTTAGTGTCTGACTCTTCCAGTTCTGTAAATCTGGCACACAAGAAGAAAACAACGGTTCCAGTTCCTGTAGGGATCAGCATATGTGTGTGTGTCAAACATTTTCACAAAGTCTGGCAAATGTTTTATCTTTTTTTAAGTTTAATAACTTTTCAGGTCCAGGTGTTATCCCTGGCATCTGTTATTCAGGATTATTTGAAGTACAGCCTGTAGGGCAAAATCCGCATCGTGCTTTAAACTTGCATGGACGCTGAACAACGTGCCCTTTTGCCAGCATTGCAAAACACAT